GGATCTTTTTTTAAAATTGCGATGCACCAAAAGCACCCCACATTTACCAATGTGTGGGGTACCCTTAAGAATTAATGGCACCCCCAAAGATCAGAGCATTTGTCTGCGAGTCAGTTCCACGACACGCAGTAACATGAACCAAGCCTTAGACAGGTGCCTCGAGACTGAAAATACTTTTCAAGGGCACACTGACCTGAAAAAGGTTGGGAAACACTGATCTAAACAACTGTACATAGTTACAAAATATTTTGTCGCTTTTTGTGAATCTATTCTGTAACTGATTATCTATATTAGAGTCTGAACTCAGAAAATACTCCAATATTTCCATAGCTGGTTTTCTTTTATTCCAGTGCATATAAGACAATTTGGAAAAAAGAATGCAGCTGGTGTGATATAATTTCCTGTTATCCTCAGCTGGCAATCACATAATACTGCCTATGCACTTGTCTTTTCTGTTTCACAGGCTAATGCAGGCCATAGATGGATCGTAATTCGGCCGATTTTCGGTCGATTAACGAACTATCGGTCGGTCTAAAAAACCTACCTGACCACCAATTATTACGAAAATCGGCCGATTAATGAGTAACCTATAACGGGAAATGATGTCATTTTTATTTTTAATTTGTACCAGAAACTAAACTTCGTACGCTGCAAACTTCTCTTTCCAGGTCACTGCACATGCGCATAAAATTTTCGGAAAACGATCGTCCGTTTTTGACCATCAATGAGGATAAAGTTGGGCATTTTCCGAAAATTTTCCAACATCACCGATAATCTGAAAGTCCAAAATACACGAAAAATGGCCGACGAAATCGTCCACTAACGATAAGATAATCAGTAGATTTTTCTTCCGGACGAAAAAAAATCGGCCGAATTACGATCCATCTATGGCCTGCATTAGATTTTATGTTGTCTTCTGCACACAGAGCTGCACATGTTACAATGCACCAGAGAAATATTTTTTCTTCATTGGCAATGAATATTCTTTTAGTTAATTACCTTTTTTAAAGACGAAACTATATCTACTAAGGAGTTGCTGTTAGACTGAAATCCTTCAGTGGGCCCTATGTGTGAAATGCAACCTACAAGCAAATGTACTTGTTAGCCACACAAAAAAATCTCAGCTTGAGACTGAAAGAAAACACAGTATATCCCTTACTGAAATGGACAAAGAAAACACTTAATATGAGAAGCCCAGTGCATGCAAGCCATTTCCATTCACCTTTTTAATCACAATACTTTGCAAAGCATGTTTCTGAGAAACAAATACAGCACAAACATAGTATTCCCAATTGTCTCTTAAAATGCACGTTACCCTACATTTTGTGTGTGTGCATTCATGCGTATAAATCATAGACTCTATCATTTTCATGTACTTATTCCATCTGAAGTACCTGGTTGATTCTGCCAGTCACCATCCTTCCTTGTTCTAAACTGACCACACAAAGCACAGGAGCTGATCTGTGCTTGTGTGGTCAGTTTGCATCCTTTGGCTAGTGATTCAAAGGTACTGCCTGTAGTGGGTAGTATGTTCAGTCACCATGCCCCCAACCAATTACACCCTGCCTCTGGCACACACTTCCACGTAATCACAGCCTGCCTCTTGAACATGCCTCCTGCTCAAGCATATTACTAAATACAGTATGTATTACATTACTATTTATAATTATTACTGCTTGGCAGGGCTTTTTTTTTTTTCAGCAGAGACGTAGGGGAACGCAGTTCTGGCACCTCCAGCACTAAATGTATGTAATGGCAAGGGGTGTTGGGTACTGCAGGGTTCATTGATGCTGGCTGCTGGGGGATTTATTATTGCTGGAGGGGATCTATTTTTGTGGGGCGGGGAGTGTCTATTGATGCTGGGAAAGTCTACTGTTGATGCAGGGGGATCTATTGTTGTTGGGGGTAGGTTTTATGTTGGTGTGTGGTCAATTGTTGCTAGGAGGAATCTACATTTGAGGGAGCAGTCTATCATTCCTAGCTGCTGGAGGGTCCATTGGCACTGGCTCTGGGGAGATCTGTTGTTGTTGCCCGGGGTTTATTGTTGCTGGGGGATGTTGGGGGGGTATTTTGATGCAGGTGGTCCATCATTCACAATCATATCATTAACAAATTCCATACAAATTGATACTTGGTTCTGTATTCTCTGAAAGGGCAGTACTGGTAGGGAGGTAAGGGGTGGAACCAAGGGATGGTGCAGTACGGGGACAAGGGGTGACTTGGAAAGGAAGAGTTCCTGCACCTATTCTCGGAGAAAAAAGCCCTGCTGCTTGAACCTTGAAGAAGGGGGTACACCCAGAAAGCTTGTCCTTAAAAATTGTATGTTAGTGCAAAAAAAAAGTATCAGACAGTACTTAATTGTTTCTGGCACAGTTCCAAAAAACAGAATTATATATAAACTAGTGCAGTGCTTAAAGTGGAGTTCCACCCAAAAGTGGAAGCTCTGCTTATCAGCCTCTTCCCCCCCTCCACTGCCACATTTTGCACCTTTTGGGGGGGAGTGGGTACCTATTTTCGACAGTTACCTGCTCCCACTTCCAGCTCATTTCGCCTCGGCAAATTGAGTCGGAAGTTTGCCCCCCCCCTCCTTCCCCCTGCAGCTCTCTGGGACACTTTACAGGTCCCAGAAGACTCTGGCCCAGTCACAAAGCACAGCAGCAGGAGACCGACTGTGAAGGCTTCACTGCCTTTTTTCCCATAGTCTAGATGACGGCGCCAACACCCGATAGCCAATTGAAAAATCGGCTCAGAGTAGGACCCTGCTGGATCCCTGGACAAATGAGTGCCCTATTATTAAAATTCAACAGCTACAGTATTTGTAGCAGCTGACTTTTAATTTTTGGGACGGGGGGCCAGAACTCCGCATTAACAAAGACATGTACTTGTCTTTACATATGCTTATATTGTTGTAATGTAGTTTATGTTTCAAGAAAGAATAAAGCAATCTGTAAACAAAACTATCGAATATAATCATTAATCAACACCATTCTCTAACACCACCACAGTGGAGTTTATTTATGCCTGTCCACTTCTACATAAAAACCAATCAACTTCCAGGTTTTAGTGCAAAAGCTTAATTGAACAAGCTAAGGTTAGAAGCTGATTGGCTTTCACCAGATTCTGAGAGAACCAGCCTCAGTAAATATCTCCTTGTGTGTGTACAGTATGTGAATCTGCAGATTCAGATCATAAGAGGTCTAAATAAGCCCAGTGGTAACTCCAGTGGGGATTAGACATGTGCACTCCGTAAAATATTGTTTCATTTAATTGTCAAATCCATTCATTAATTGAAGAATTTTTTTTTCAATCCATTTGTTATGCACCTATTCTTTTTCAGAATTTGTTTCATATCTTCTGCATTTGTTTCATTTCATTCAGAATATCGCTGGTTGTTAAATAGTGGAAGGACTCTGCATCCTTAACAACCATGACTCATCTGCTGTCAGCGGGATTCCCCACTGGCAGCAGAAGGTAAAAATAAGTGTCCATTAAAAAAAAAAAACACACAGTCTGGGTCCCCCCCAAATCCAGGCCCTTTGGGTCTGGTATGTATTTTAAGGGAAGCCCTATACCAAAATTAAAACATTTGGTCTAGGTCTAGCATGGATTTTAAGATAAACCCCACGCTAAAAATTTTAAAATCCATACCAGACTCTTAACCAAGAATGTAGCCTGGGAAGGCCAGGAAAGAGGGGGGACAAGTGAGAACCCATCAAATCATACCAGGCCACATGTCCTCAACATGGGGGGCTCCCCCCAAAGAACTCTGTCCCCCTGAATAATACCAGGCCACATGCCCTATGTCTACCTGTCATTTGGCATGTTTACAGTCATTTTGACATGTCCCATGGAAAGACACTCGCCCAATGTCAAGTAGATATGTGGGCAATGACCCCGTCCCCATGTTTACCTGTCAATTGGCATGAGTCCCTGGACAGGACATGTCGTGTTTGACTTTTTTTTTCTTGCGGGTTGGTGTTCATCGCGATTGATGTTGGATCTACTTCTGGAGAAATTTTTCTTTTTCTGGGGGGGGTTTATTAACCCTTGTCAAAAACTGTCTCTGCCTTACTCATTTGCATGGGGGAGGCTGAGATCTAAAAGCCTCCTTATTAAAGCCCCATGGACGGCAATGAATGGTCCAATCGGTCCACTTGTGTAAAAGGGGCCTTAGAGCCAACCTGACTGATGCTGCAGCACTGAGGTTAGTATTAATGTTTGTTTCTTGCTATAACCCCTATACTTCTCTTTTAACAGGAAATAGCAGGACAGAGCAGATACCCTGCCATATTATTGCACCAGTAATAAACATTATTTAAACATTGTAGCCAATTTTCCTTTCTTCTTTCAAAATAGAATAGGTTATAATGCTAACAATTTATAGTATTGCAGCTTACCGGTCCTTAGATGTGGTGGCTGTCCCCAGGAGAAAAAATATCTTTGATTCCATTCCTGGAGTTAAAAGAATGTGTTGCTGATTTCTTTCCAGATTTAACCACTTGCCTACCGGGCACTTTTACCCCCTTCCAGCCCAAGCCAATTTTCAGCTTTTCAGCGATGTCGCAATTTGAATGACAATTGCGCGGTCATGCAACACTGTACCCAAACAATATTTTTAGTATTTTTTTGAGACAGGTAGAGCTTTATTTTGGTGGGATTAGTTTACCACTGGGTTTTTTATTTTTTACTAACCAAACTAAAAAAGACTGAAAATTTTTAAGACAAATTTTTTTTTTGTAGTTTCAAGGGTAAAATTTTATAAATAAGTAATTTTTCTCTTTCAGTGATGTGCGCTAATGAGGCTGCAGTGATGGGCACTGATAGGCTGCACTGATGGGCACTGATAGGCAGCACTGATGAGGAGGCACTGGTAGGTGGCACTGATGGGCATTGATAGGCATCACTTGTAGGCATTGACAGGGTTCACTGATGGACACTGAAAGGCAGCACTGATAGGCAACACTGAAAGGAGGCATTGATAGGTGGCACTGACTGGCACTGTTAGGTGGCACTGATGGGCTACTAATAGGTGGCACTGATGGGCACAGATAGATGGCACTGACTGGCACTGATAGGCGGCACTGACTGGCACTGATAGGTGGCACTGAAAGGCAGCTCAGATGGGCACTAATATGTGGCATTGATCTGCACTGGTAAGCAATGATATGTGGCATTGATGGGCACTGGTATGTGGCATTGATGGGCACTGACAGGTGGCACTGATGGGGCTACACTGATCATCAGGGCACTGATCATCAGTGCCTGATGATCAGTGTAAATGTCCCTTATGAGGAATGCCGCTTACTGACTCTCCTTAAGCACTGTCAGCGTGAGGAGAGGACTGCCAATAACTTGTTTAATTTCTTTGTTTACATGTGCTCATCTGTGATTGGACACAGCTGATCACATGACAGAGCCTGTGTCATCGGCTCTTTACTCTGATCGGTGATCCGCTGTGTCTCAGGGATACAGTGCACCACTGATCACCGTGTGCCCCCGAGAGCACCCATGCACAGTTAGAGTGGGAGGGCGTCATATGACGAGAGAACTGCCGCCCATCCATCATTTCCTTATATGGGGTGTGGGAGGCGGTTAATAATGGTGTCTCCAACCTGGAAGGCGGCAGTGTAATCCTTTTTAGAACATTTCTGTGACTGGCCTGGAGTAGAAGGAGGGAGGGGAGCAGTGTGTTTGCTCTTGGTTGTGTCCATCAATGATGTTACATGCCAATATTATGTGGTCTCCCCAGTTGCTTCAATTACAATCCCCTGATGAAGCCACGTGACCTATGGCGTAACGCGTAGGGGTGGGGCTACAACGTCACTCGGCACCAGAGGATAACAGCGAGTATACACGCTGTGCGGCACACACAGGCAGAGATCTTTTATATAAAGCACTTTTTGATTTTACACAATGTTAGTGCATTATTTGGGCATCTTAAATAAAGGAATGTTTTATAAGGATAAAGCACTACGTCCATATTGCTTTTTTGCTCCATAACACTGAGGAACATCTAAGAGAGGATTAAGGAGGTGATTCCGAGCAGCTCAAGGAGGGAGAGATCCCTGCAGGGATAATGAGTATTTAAGGAGAGAAGTACTATGGAGTACATAGGAGACACCCAACACCTATTCCATGCTGCAGCAAATTTTAGCAGGTTCCATTTATGTGAACAAAAAGTGTATTAAGCCTAACTGTTAGGCTTGCAAGGAGGTGAGCGCACATCTTTATTGTTATAAGGATTCACAAAAAGTCACAATTGTTGTTTTTGGATCACGCCATCACATCAATCTTTGGACTATTATTTGATTAATGGGACGTTTTTTTGTTTGATTTACATCACATATATCATTTTGGGATTATTATAAGTTTCACATTTTTATGAATTTGAATTTTATATATATTATTTATTTTGTTTGTGGACATATAATTTTGAGTTATTATTATATCGTTATATGTTTGTTGGAGATTGGGAGCGCAACATTTTGGTGATATTGATCTCCCCAGTCACTTCCCTCTCATTTGTTGCGAGAGGTAAGGTTATTAGTTTTCCTCCTTGTCCTTGTTTGTGATGGTGACCTGTAGTCCACACCTGGGCATGCACTCTTGGCAAAGTAGGTTCAGATGTTATAAAACCATACTGTTTTAGGCCCCTCCCATTGTTAGCACAATGTGGCCACACCCAAAATAATTTGGCATGGTTTGCATGCTGCTAATACCCCAACCCCTGTCCCACCCTCCAAAAAATGACGCATGGTCAGTAGGGTGTCTCCAGATTTAATTTTTAAAATCTGATCACCTTACTATACTGAGCGGAGTGTCTCAGGACTACATAACAATATGTTAGAACTGTGTTAGCACTACACAACAAATCCCTCATTTCTACATAACAGGGGGGAGGTGTTTTGTAGTCAATGGATAGTAGGAACAATGATAGCAGGGAACAATGTTAACTGATAGCAATCCAGAGGTAGAGAGCACAGGAATTTTCCAGCTCACACAATTTGAGCTACTTTTGCACTTGCTGAACAGATAAAATAAAAATGCTTTCAAATGTATATATAATAGACCAAAGGGGAGTAAATAGCAGAACACTATATTTAGAGTTTACATACAATTTAACCATTTTAGCCCCGGAAGGTTTTGTCCCTTCCTGACCAGGCCATTTTTTTGCTGTTTGGCACAGTGATATTTCCACTGGTAATTGCATGTTCATGCAAACCTGTACCCAAACGAAATTTATGTCCATTTTTTCACACAAATAGGGCTTTCTTTTGATGGTATGTGATCACTGCTGGGTTTTTTATTTTTTGTGATATAAATGAATAAAAACTGAACATTTTGAAAAAAAAACCCCAATAATTTCTACTTTCTGTTATAAAAATGATCCAATAATTTTAAATTTAGGCAAAAATGTATTTTGCTACAGTTCTTTGGTAAAAAATATCCCAATATGTGTATATTAATTGGTTTGTGTGAAAGTTATAGTGTCTACAAAATATGGTATAGATACTGGAATTTAAGCAGCTTTTACTTTCTGACTGCCTACATTTATTGAGGTGCTAAAATGACAGGGCAGTACAAAAAACCCCCATATATGGAAAGTAGACCCCACAAGGAATTTGCTGAGAGCCATGTTGAGCCCATGGAAGATCATATTTTTTGCCACTAATTTTTGGAAAATGACACTTTTTTTTTTTAATTTTAAATTTATTTAAGTGACACACAATTGTCACTTAAATGATATATTGCTCATACATGCCATAGGCATATGTGGAATAACATCTCAAAACACATTCTGCCACTTCTCCTGAGTATGGGGTTCCACATGTGAGACTTATTGGCAGCCTATCCACATGCAGGCCTCCAAAATCCAATAAGCACCTTCAGGCTTTCAAAGGGCATATTTCCTTATGTCATCTCCTCACTTCCTATCACAGTGTCGGAGGCCCTGAAATGCCAGGATAGTACAAATACCCCCCTCCCCCAAATTACCCCTTTTTAGAAAGTAGACTCCCAAAGGAATTTGATAAGAGACATGGTGAGTATTTTGCAGATATCGTTTTTACACAGGGTTGTGAAAACAAACAAAAAAAAAAATAATTTTTGTTTTCTTTCTTCATTTTCCAAAAAACTTGTGGCAACAAATGAGATCAGCAAAATACTCACCATGCCCCTTAGCAAATATCTTGGAGTATTTACTTTCCAAAAGGGGTCATTTGGGGGGTTGCTTCTACTATCCTGACATTTCAGGACCAACATTAGAACCTTATTCCACACATCACCCACTCTTCTAACCACTTGAAGATCAAGCCTTTTCTGCCACTTTTTGGTTTACATGAAAAAAAATATTTTTTTGCTAGAAAATTACTTTGAACCCCCAAACATTATATATTTTTGAAAGTAGAGACCCTAGAGAATAAAATGATGGGTGTTGATATTTTTATGTCATACAGTATTTGCACAGCGATTTTTCAAATGCAATTTTTTTGGAAACAATACACTTTTTTTTTTATTTTAATGTAAAAAAACACAATATATTGCCTAATTGTTTGATAAAATATAAAAGATGATGTTACACCGAGTAAATAGATACCAAACATGACATGCTTTAAAATTGCGTACGCCCGTGCAAAGGCAACAAAGTACATATAGTACATTTTTAATATTAATAAAGGTTACCACTTTAGATTTATACAGGAGGTCTAGGGCTAGCATTACTGCCCTCGATCTGACGTTCGCAGTGATACCTCACATGCATGGTGCAATCTCTGTTCATATACTGGCACGGGACAGATGCTTGCGTTTGCCTTTGCACAGGGAATGTAAATATCCCCTGCAATAGGCAGTGTCAGGTACTCTTTTCTGAGAAATCTGGGATCTATTAGACTCTAGATCTCTCCTCTGCTCTTAAAGCATCTAATTATGCCATGATTGGTATGAACAGATCCTTTCCCAAATTTAAAATAGCGCTGTTTATATCTAGCGAAAGTGAAATGATGAAATGCATATTGCTTCTGGTTTCTTATACCATAGAGATGATTGGAGCCATTTCGGTCTCTGATTAGCTCTATGGTCAGCCGGTGAAACCTCTGGCTGCTTTCTTGGGCTCGCTGGTGGAATGGGAGAGCCCAAGAAAGCCATGGAAGGTGGTGGGAGGGAGAGGGACATCCCTTCCTGCTGCTTGTAAAAGCAATCCAGTGGTTAACTAGCCGCTAGGATTGCTTTGACATAAAAGCTGACTGCCAGCTGAAAAAAACAATGATGCCTATAGCTGCATGCATCATCCGGGTATAACTACTCAAAAGTCCAGTGATGTACCAGTAAGTTGCTGGTCTTTGTAGGGCATATACTGTATGTAACAGCAGAAAACATGGGCATGTTAGTGCTCTGGACTCATATGACTGCAATTCATTCTTTTTTGTAATGCCTATGTTGAGGGTTAGACCCAAAACATTTTACTTTCGGAAACTGTAATAGGTTTCCATGCAAATTATTTGGCAAGAGCTGAATTTGGGTAGGCAGCAATGTATTGTTGTGCGTATAAATAAAAAGGGCTTCCCCCAGAGCCGCTGCTTGCCCACACAAACACCGGCAAGTAGTTAAACAATAAAACCTTAAATAAGAAAAAAAAATTCTCAATATTTTATTATTTTTTAACATCATTTTGTTTTATTATTTAAAAAAAAATACTTTCCTCAGAGTAGTTCAATGTTACCATATTAACACTATACTAATCTGTGTGATTAGGGATTTTTTTTTTACACTTTGCTTTGCAGGAGCAATAAAGATTATTGCTTCTGCAGTTCAATGCTTGCTTTGAAATGTCATGAATGGGTTAATTCCATGACAGTTCAAAATACTAGTGATCTGTGATTGGCTACAGCTGATCACATGGTACAGGGTGCTGTGATTGGCCCATGTACCATGTGAGAGCTGTGGGCCAATCGCAGCTCACTAGGAAGGGAAACAAAGCTGTTATGAATCAGATTGATTCATAACAGCCTTGCTGACATTGTGATCATATGATCGCATAGCGATCGCATGACCACCGGGTCCCATTTACCGGGATCCGCATTCCGCTGTGTCTGGTGGACATAGTACCCCCCTGTGTTAGTACAGCCAGAGTGACATACCCGTATGTCACTCTGCCTTTAGCTGCCGCCCATCCGCAGTACACTGCGTGCAGGGGTTTTAAAGTGGTTAAGTATATTTGAACCCTCACCTTTTAAAATTATCCATTCAGTTTAAAATAGAAAGTAAAGGAAAAACATTTTTGTATAGATATAAAAAAATTTAAAAACTCTTTTTTTCTTTTTTTTTTTGCAAGAGCTCACACCATCTGTGTTCTCAGATGCATAAGATGCTTAGAGAGGTGGGGGTGAAGAAACAGCAGTACACTGATCTTCCCAGTGAATGGCTGTGCAGGGGGGCATGTCAGCACAAGTCTTGGCCTTTGAAAGGGAAGGCAGACTGTGCTCCCA